ACATGTTAAAAACATGGGTTAATGGTTTGCATATCCCCTCGATTGCCCATTTAACCACTGTCATACTGATACCATCACTATCACTGGATGATTTATTACCACATTTGTTCACTGTCTCTATAATTTCCTTTTCAACAATTGGCTTAAGAAACATAGAACACATATTTCTTTCAAGTCTAAACGGTATTTGTACAGCACAATCTCTCAGTCAGAACAGAAGACTACATGTGCCTCTGTCAGACAATCATGTCTTAAAGCATCCGTAAAGGTGTTCATATTATTGTAAAATAAAAGCTTTTGTATGCACCTCGCCATTCCTGTGTGGTGCAGAGCGGGAGTGTGACAGAAGTTCAGATTTGTTAACGTTGACCCCAGTTCTGTTGACCCTTGTGGGCATAGCCAATCACTAATGATCACAGCTTGAACTGACTACTTGTCTACTTGTGTCCCTGAATCTCCCAAACTGCAGAATAACATATCAGTTACAGAAGCAGCAACAAGACTGTTAAAAAGGGCACAGCTTGAGTCTCTGAAACGTAGTGTTCAACTGGTAAAAGCATTAGCATTGTAGCTAAGGTGGCTTCATACATAATGTGCCCCAGGGCTACTGCATCAACCAGAGCAAGACCCTCATTATTCTGAGATCATGAGAATACACCATAACACTAAAACAGCAGAAATGTGTCAATGGCAGAATCAGTTGTAAACAGTGTAGAAGTTTGTTCACCTCTCTGTTTAACCTGTGCTTGCTCACAGCCAGAGCCCTTTGTTATTCTTAGATTAAAAGGTGTACACGTGAGCAACCACACCCAGACCTGCAGAACAATCTGCCAAAATGAGCACTGTATTGGTGTAAACTGTTACACCCGACTGCTTTAGTGCTGTGGGAACGTGAATACAATTTGTCACATTAACAGCTAGGCTAATACTGACATAACCTGACTGCAAATGTAAGTGAAGGGAAGTCAGAGACCTGGTGAGAAAATGAAAAAGGTTCTATTTTGTACACAGCTTTTGATCTTTTGAACCAAGTTATAAAGGAGAGAACAGAGAAGGAAGCAAGAAGGACCGGGCAGACATTAGGAATTGTATTCCATTTTCCCAGGACAAATATAGTGCGTCCAGGTCACCTAGGTCTCCCTTGTGTCATTTTGAAAGTAGATCACTTTGCACCAGAGATTCCTTCTGGAGTGTAGTACAGCAGAAATCTAGGTTGCTCTCTTAATGTGTTCACTAGCAATGCAAAGGAATTGTGAAATATGAAGTGGTACTACACTGCTTAATACAGTTCATTTTACAATATTATTCCTTACAGACAGATTGTGATGGTTATTAGACCATTCTCTGATTTCAGACACTTTTGTTTTTTCTTTTCCCCCCATGAACATTTTAAGGAGTTACTCACCTAATGTAACTGTCAGAGTAACATAATATATTCAAAGCAGTGGAGATACGTGGGTAAAATACTTACCTTTTAAAACAGGGATGTCTCAGATAGTAACCCATCTTGCTCCTGAACCTGCACTAAAATGCTCACAGTAATGCATGTTGGTATTGGCCAATATAGGTGGGAAAATATCAGGTATTTAACTCATCTTCAACCAACACATCAGTAGGTCCCTATTAAAAACTGTCAGTGTTGCTGGTTTTAAATTTGTGTGTGATGTGATGTGTAAAAAAAAAAAAAAAGTCAACCTGAACTGGTTTGTTTCCTTTACAGATGATCATGAGGATGAAGATGCTGTTGTCAACAGAATATCGTGAGCAAACTGATTTCTTTTTTGGAGAACAATTGAAGATGTAACATTGGGCTTCAGAAAATAGTGAATTTGCAATTTTAGTACATTTTTACAGCGAATTGATTAATCAAGAATTTAATAACAGACTAATTGATAATGGGAATAATTATTAGATGCAGCAATGACCACTAATTTTGAAGGTGTTACTTAAGCTAGAACAGTGCTGCAAGTATCACATATCCCAGTCTAGAGTCAGTCACACCCTCAGAGGTACTTGTAGCCACATGCTGCCTTTTTGAGCCCAGCTGCTGCCTCCGACCAGCTTTCTCCAGTTGTCGCCATGATTCCCTCAAAGATCAGATTTTTTCCGCTTGGACTGTGCTTCCAGATGCTCCATTCTATCTGTTATAGTCATTAAACTCTCACACGTTCTGTAAACCTCCTCCTTCGCTTCCTTGGCGTGTATTTTCTGTTCACCCATGGCAGTCTTTATCACATCCACCTCTCGCTGGGTAAACTGCCGACTTGTTTTTATCTCCTGTATTTCTCTGGTCATTTCATCGAATCTCCTGTTGTTTGTCTCCATAATTAGTTGCACAAAGCCTTTGAAGCACTCCTGCAGTTGGTTAAGCATCGTAATGAACATCTGTTTCTCATGATCCACGATGTCTTTAACTTGCGCCGCTCTATGACACATTTCTTCTGCCTCCATATCCTTAGTCACTTCTGATTTATTAGGTTTTTTCCCTCTTTGAGGCATTTTAGCAGTTGTAAAGTATGCTCAAAGACTTGCTCAAAGACTTGAAATATAGAACAGACAAGAGGAGCAGTAAAAACGTCTGCTCTCGCTTGCAAACCCGGAAACTGAATAGAGATAATAGAGAACAGACAGCATAACACCATGAGAACAAGCACCGCACACACATCCTGATAAATTCCAATGTACTCAAAAATAGACAGAATCAAGTATTTGAATAATCAAGAACAGAATTTACATATGTGCATATTAACCATGCATTTTACCATGAGGTGAGTATTGCACCTCAGTTGACTTTACATAGTCCCTCATACTTTCACCTAGCTTATCCCTGCAGTGATGTATTGTACAGTCTGATTGCTGTGGGGAGGAATGACCTATGGTAACGCTCCTTCTTACACGGGGGATGTAACAGTCTTGCGCTAAAAGAACTGTTCAGAGCCTCTACTGTGTGGTGCAGGGGATGGTAGGGGTTGTGCATGATCGACATTAGTTTTACCAGCATCCTTCTGTCCGCCACCTCCTCGATGGAATCCAGGGGGCAGCCCAGGACAGACCCAGCTCTCTTGACCAGCTTGTTGAGTCTCTTTCTGTCCCTGACCGTGCTACCTCCCACCCAGCCCACAACAGCATAAAAAACAGCAGATGCCACTACAGTATCATAAAAAGTCTGAAGGAGTGCCCCGCGCACACCAAAGGACGTCAGTCTCCTCAACAAGTGGAGGTGGCTCTGGCTCTTCTTGTACAGGCCATCAGTGCTCATCCGCCCCCCCATATACATCCAACAATGGCAGTGTCATCAGAGAACTTTTGTAGGTGATGGTGGGAGTTGTACTTGAAGTCTGATGTGTAGAGGGTGAACAGAAAGGGGGAAAGCACCGTCCCCTGGGGTGCCCCCGTGCTGCAGACCACCACGTTCGACACAGTCACGCAGCCTGACAAACTGAGGTCTGGTTGTAAGGTAGTTAATGGCCCATGCGGACAGGTGTTGGTCCACACCTGCCCCCTCCAGCTTCCCCCTCAGCAGTGATGGCTGGATTGTGTTGAAAGCACTGGAGAAGTCAAAGAACATGACCCTCACCATGCTTCTGGGGGACTACAGATGAGATAGGGCTTGATGCAGCATGTAGATAATAGCATCATCAACCCCAATGCCAGGATGGTATGCAAACTGCAGCGGGTCAAGTGCCGAGCTCACCTGGGCACGGAGGTAGCCGAGGACAATCCTCTCCAATGGAGGCCTGCATCAGCTGTAAGCAGTAAGTCGATGATGAGCAGGGCAGTGTTATGGTTTGGGTGGCACTGCCTGTTTGGTGCTTTTATTTTTCGTGGTTGGCTTCCTGTTTCTTTCAGTTCACATGCCCCAGTTTTGCCCCAGCTTTACCCCAGCTAATCAGCATTTATTGTTTACAGCTGCTACTCGTTATCTCCTGGTCCTGCCCCATATTTATACAACCTGTTTTCCACTGTTTGGTTGCTGGATCATTAATGTTCCCACACCCTGAGTTCGCTCCTCGATGTTTCTGTGTTCACGCTGGATTACTGCTCTCTGGTTGCGCTGGGCTTTGGTTAGTTTCATGTTTGCATTATTCACTCTGGACTCTAGATTTATTATCTGTTTGTCGTTTAGCACTTAGCTGAGTTTTTTCTTTTCCTGATTGGCTACAAGCGGCACCTGAATACTGTTTGTTCGCCTCCTGTTATTTTCCACCCATCTGAACCCTTGACTCTTTGAATGTCTGGTGTGCTATGAGCATGGCATCTGCCTGTTACCTGCTGTAATGCCCAACTTCCAACAAGCTTCTCCAGAGTGCTCAACTCCTGACCTCCTTTGAGCTGCGCCAGTGTGTTGTGAGTATCCTGTCTTGCCCACTGTGCTGTGGAGCAAGTGCTCCAATGCTGTGATTAGTCTACTCACCTGTCATCCTGGTCCTCTGGTCTTCCTGTGTCCCTCCTGCTCGTCTTCTGGTCTTCCTGTGTCTGCCCTCATGAACCGTAACAGGCAGAGTGTGAAAATCTGACTTTTGTGGGTACAGTTATTGCTAAATTGTTAGAAAACAATTCACTTAGGGATGGGTCTAAAATTAATTAAAACACAGGGATTCAGAGAGGGCTACTGTAAGAGGGGTAAGCAGTGGCATGTTTATTTACTAACTAAGTCTTCTACTTCTGTTCCTGAGACCTATGCAATTTATAGGCACTGTGTGGGATTCACATTTTTTGTCACCCTCCATTGGTAGTATTAAAAATGACACTGTGATAGACAACAATTCATACAACTACCCCATGGATCTGACCCATGGACAGTGAGTATAAGCAGAAAATAGTGTCCACTAGGGAGGTAATGATACCAAAACCTCACAGTACGATGTCACCACAATATAAATCCCATGATGCGGTATTTGTCACAATATTAAAAAAATGAAAAAAAATTTTAAAATGCCCTTTACTAAATAATAAATCAGTGTTTTGTATGAGTCACCTTCTAACTTGAAGTGCTCCTGCTTTTTCTTTATTAAAATGAAGTAGCCAGCCATGGCCTAAGCATGTGCAAAAACTCATCATGAATTGTCACTGGCACAAAATGACTGAACACTTTGGGAAACTGCAAAACAAAAGATGATGCATTAGTCAGTAGCAGTCTTTTTATCAAATAAAATGATGTATTATTGCAGCAGCTGGATCTTGTAAACAAAACACATTTCACTCACATTGGAACAATAGTGGTTTAATGCCTCCTAGGTAGGTTTAACGTTTTCTGCTTGGTGGCTGTGATGACCGGTGGTCAGGTTCTCAGTGTCACTGGACCAGTTCTAGCAAGTATCCCCCGAGATCACCAATGCTAGGGAATAGTGGTAGGTGAAGAAGACACCACAATTACACCAGAACAAGCCACATAAAAGTGAGATTTGTGCTTTACTCCAGGTGTTTTTTAAATGTTGTTCTACTTTTTCAAAAGAAATGATGGTAGTGTGGTACACCTCAAAAACGGTATGACCACATTTGAGTTATTAGATAACTATTTTTTTTTTTGTATTTTATTTGGAGACAGCAATGCATTATGTATACTAGACTCAGGACCAGGTTAAATTGTATACCAATGAATAATTAACATCACAAACCAAAGCAGCATTTAGGTAGGAACCATTGTGAAGGCAGCAGTTGCACCAGGTGCGTCTGTAGTGGAAAAAGCAAACTTGATATAGTTAATACTTATTAGTTAATACTTATTAGGCCCATGTTAGTTAAACTTTAAGTATGGTCAGATTTCTGTGTACTTCTCTCTCTGCATGATCATGGGGTCCAGTTTCCTGTTATTCAGTAACAGGCATAGGGGTTTCCCAAAATAGAGAAATGATACCAGGGTGGGAGCCTGATGGATAGTAAGACCTGGACAATTGGCGGAAGTTGGGAAATAGATAGCTATTTAGGATGCTGCAAAGCTGAAGAGACTCAGACTTGGACGGAGACTGAGACAAACTGAGACTTGAAGAGCACATGGGTGAATGTGAAGACTTGAGAAGACAGACAGACCCCAGAAACTCTGCAGAGAAATCCAGGTGGTTCTGTTTCTCTCCCTCTCCATCCATATTTCTATATATTGTTCAATAAATGATGATTGGCACTGCAGTGATTCTCCCTGTGAATTAATTCTATACACGACATGTCTTACGGGTGAGACCTTCCGCTCAGCTTAAAAGACAATTTGGAACGTGAACTGAGAGCCTCGTGTCCTCATTGTTGTTGAATATACCTGTGTTTTCCAGACGCAGATCATTTGTTGCGACGTCACCATCTTGGGACTCGTAACAGTAGCATTTTATTTTATAAAACTGTAAATCCCAACTTATTTCCAGATAATTTCCTAAGACATAGAACCAAATAATTGGGTACTAATTACAGGTAAAATAGAGGGTGATCACTTGGTAAACGTCTAGTTATTTCTACATGCTAAGGCTTTTATTCAGAGACAAAACTTTTTATACATGCAAAGTGAAAATGTGTAAAAATTGTCTGCAAACTACCATACAATCCAGCATAAATGAAAAATAACATTTTCAATTATAAATAGTAAATATTAATTGAGGTTTAAATTGAGCAATTTCTTTCATGGAAATTCATCTGGAAGGCAGTAATACAAAAAGTCAACATAATTCAGCGGACTAACAAAAACAGTATCAGAACTTTGACAGTTTTTCTGTTAGTACTAAGCTACACGGTTCTTTTCTGAAAACCTTCAGAAAATTTATAGGAAGTCGTTGGCCTGTAACATGAAGCCTTACTGAAAAGACATTGAGGGTGAGTTTGAAGTTTGACAAATGTGCTCCGTGTCCCAAATGTTTCTAAGAGATGTATCCAGGATGGTTGCAGTCCTAAATGGGGCTAGTATTGCCTTTGTTCAGCAGTATTAACAAATTGCTTTGTGTTTATTAATTTTCTTTCCGCCTGTGTCATTTCTTGAAACAGGAAAACTGAAATGCTGCCACACAACAGTTGTAAAAGTCGGTGATGGAGCATCCGCTATGTCGGTTTCAAATTCTGAAACCTGAACACAGTCATATTAGCGAAATAATCGTATTTAATACACAGTAGATGCTGTCACATTCCCACAATTGCAATATTATGAAATTACAAGTATCATTATATTCTTACTGTCCATGAAACCAACCCCTTTTCTTTAGTATAAGTAGCAAAAAAAAAAAATAAACCAAAGTGTGACACTGCTCTGTTAGATGTGAAATTCCTGCATAATTATGTGTGAATTAGTAACACAGTAAGCTTAAATAATAAAATTTAAAAACTCTCAGGTCAAGTTTACATATACACCCAGTGTCTGAATTGCACCTCTGGATAGCAAGCTAATGAGATCACTGGTGAAAGGCCAACACACACACACGGTATAAACAAAATACTGTACCAGCAACAACTTGCATAGTATTTTTTCATTTAAGAGTGTCACAGGTGTTGATTTCAATCAGTTGATGGCTGCCGACAGCTGTTCCCCTTTGTTGGTGCCCACTTGACATACTGTACTGGATATCTTTTGCCAAACTCTTTTTATTATGTCACATTATACAGTGGTGTGAAAAAGTGTTTGCCCCCTTACTGATTTCTTATCTTTTTGCATGTTTGTCACACTGTAATGTTTCAGATCGTCAAACAAATTTATATATTAGTCAAAGATAACACAAGTAAACACATCATGCAGTTTTTAAATGAAGGTTTTTATTATTAAGGGAAAACAAAATCCAAAACTATATAGCCCTGTGTGAACAAGTGTTTGCCCCCCTGTCAAAACACTGGTTTATCGCACCTGAGTTCAATTTCTCTAGCCACACCCAGGCCTGATTACTGCCACACCTGTTCGCAATCAAGAAATCACTTAAATAGGACCTGCCTGACAAAGTGAAGTAGACCAAAAGATCCTCAAAAGCTAGACATCATGCCGAGATCCAAAGAAATTCAAAACCAAATGAGAAAGAGAATAATTGAGCTCTATCAGTTTGGAAAAGGTTATAAAGCCATTTCTAAAGCTTTGGGACTGCAGCGAACCACAGTGAGAGCCATTATCCACAAATGGCGAAAACATGGAACAGTGGAGAACCTTCCCAGGAGTGGCCGGCCGACCAAAATTACCCCAAGAGCGCAGCGACAACTCATCCAAGAGGTCACAAAAGACCCCACAACAACATCCAAAGAACTGCAGGCCTCACTTGCCTCAGTTAAGGTGAGTGTTCATGACTCCACCATAAGAAAGAGACTGGGCAAAAATGGTTTGCATGGCAGAGTTCCAAGACGAAAACCACTGCTGAGCAAAAAGAACATAAAGGCTCGTCTCAGTTTTGCCAGAAAACATCTTGATGATCCCCAAGACTTTTGGGATAATACTCTGTGGACAGACGAGACAAAAGTTGAACTTTTTGGAAGGTGTGTGTCCCATTATGTGTGGCGTATATGTAACACCGCATTTCAGAAAAAGAACATCATACAAACAGTAAAATATTGGTGGTGGTAGTGTGATGGTCTGGGGCTGTTTTGCTGCTTCAGGCCCTGGAAGACTTGCTGTGATAAATGGAACCCTGAATTCTGCTGTGTACCAAAATATCCTGAAGGAGAATGTCCGGCCATCCGTTTGTGACCTCAAGCTGAAGCGAACTTGGGTTCTGCAGCAGGACAATGATCCAAAGCACACCAGCAAGTCCACTTCTGAATGGCTGAAGAAAAACAAAATGAAGACTTTGGAGTGGCCTAGTCAAAGTCCTGACCTGAATCCAATTGAGATGCTGTGGCATGACCTTAAAAAGGCAGTTCATGCCCGAAAACCTTCCAATGTGGCTGACTTACAACAATTCTGCCAAGATGAGTGGGCCAAAATTCCTCCACAGCGCTGTAAAAGACTCATGGCAAGTTATCGAAAACGCTTGATTGCAGTTGTTGCTGCTAAGGGTGGCCCAACCAGTTCTTAGGTTTAGGGGGCAAACACTTGTTCACACAGGGCTCTATAGTTTTGGATTTTGTTTTCCCTTAATAATAAAAACCTTCATTTAAAAACTGCATGATGTGTTTACTTGTGTTATCTTTGACTAATATATAAATTTGTTTGACGATCTGAAACATTACAGTGTGACAAACATGCAAAAAGATAAGAAATCAGTAAGGGGGCAAACACTTTTTCACACCACTGTATGCTTCAGTGTTCGTAACGTGACAGTGATTCGGGTGGTGAGCACTAGAAATCACAACTACAAATATAGGCTACAACACAAGTGAGTCATTAAGATGAATATCAATGACAAGTGAGTCAGCTATAACCGGGGATCTGACAACTACATCACCAACATTACAATAATAAGTAAGCGTCAGTAGGTTTGCTTGTACAGCATCTCAATTAGTTACACAACACATAAAATGCAATGCAAGAGTGTAGTGCAAAAGACACAACAATGGCCAGTCAAAAACTAGCAGTTGCCAGTTTACACAGATGGCAGCAAGGGCATTTCTAGCAGTTGTAAAAGATAACAGACCAAGTCAAGATTACCTGGGGCTTGTCATTATTTATGGACAGAGGCACAGGTTGGTTGGGGATCTACATCTATAATAAACATTATTTTAGACATACAAACAGATTATTTTGTAAAACATCTCTCCCTTTGTATTATGCACTGGTCACCATCCTGTCTTCTATTTCTTTCCGCTTTCTCAGTCTGTATCCACTCAGTCTGTGGTCATTGACCCTAGGTGTAAACGTATTAATGATTATATTTATGTACAGTTACTCCATTACCCTGCCTATGCAGTTGCAGTTACTACATTGCAATATTAGCATAGCTCACCTCTAGGTTTGTTTCTGTCTGTCCTTTACAATTTAAGTCCCTATGTGGGTGTTTCACTTCATTATTTATGTCTTCATTGCTCCTTCTCTCTCCCTCTGTCCCCTGTTCTCTTCTCCATCCTATATTCTTTGCTCTAATTCTAGTCTCTATCTCCAGTGAAATTCTATTTCTAAGTCAATTTTGTCCATGTATTTTCCTGTTCATTTATTTTGCTTGTCCTCTGCTGTTGATTTTAACTCTTGTTTACTCTTCACAGTTTTTAAACAATGTGCTGCTGAAAAATTCCTGTCTTCCTTTCTCCCACACATTCCCAGTTTTCCTAAAAGTGCAATTGTTTTGTGTTTAACTTTTCTTTCCCTTATTTATCAAGTTATCATCAGCCTCTAGTCTTCCACATATAATGTCTTCCTTTACTGCAATGTCATTTTTTTGTTTGGCATTTTAGAGCCAATCCCAGTCATTGGGGGAGAGGCGGGGTCCACCCTGGACAGGTCGCCAGTCTACCACAAGGCTGACAATTAAGACAATCACACTCACTCCTACGGGCAATTTAGAGACAATCTAAGCTGCATGTGGGAGCTGGACTGTGGGAGGAAGCCAAAGCACCCGGAGAGAACCCACGCAGGCACAGGGAGAGCAGAGGGCTAAAACCAAGAACCTTCTTGCTGTGACGTGACAGCGCTAACCACCGCACCACCATGCTGCCCTCCTTTTCATCCATAGCTAATATTTTTCATTGTATTCATTGTGTCTAGTTTGGCTTTTCGGCATGTATATTTATATGTAGAACGCAGGCACCTGAGATGCCTTTGGCCGTACTGTAAGTCAGTTTTTGTTGTATGTTTTGGTCTTGTTTAAATCTTACTGTTAAACAGGTGGAGACATGATGGAAATATTGATCTGACACTAAGGGCAGACTACTGTTATCTATAGGAGACTGTTTTGCCAACTCCATTTGTGGACTGATCTTTCGTATTATTTAATACTCAAACACTTATCACATTGAAGGGAAGGCCTAGGAATTCAACAAAATTTGTCATTGTGTGGATGCTGTGAAGCATCCACACTATGTTATCCTGTTCTTAATTGCATAGATGCTGTTTCAGCATCCATACTATGTTATCCTGGTCTTTATTATTGTGTGGATGTGTATGCCATTCTTAAGCTTTATACACATATAATAGATGACAATCGTAGAGAAAATTGTCACGAATTCAGCTGTCAGTGTTACTGAGATGGGATGAATGGTATTTGCATAAGTCGCTCATTCCAGCGCATACCGTCTCACTGCTCCATAGACTTACAGTCAATACAGAAAATCCGCTGAAACAAAACGTCGGCATATTTGTAAATCGTAACTGTTCCTTCATTTTGTTTAATCTTGACATAATACAACAGAGGAATAACACAACAAAGTGCTGTATATATTAATATTGGGTGTCACGCTTGCTCATCGCCGCGTCTCTCACTCTGTCGCTCCCTGACTTGCAGTCAAATGATACGCTGGAAGGAAAACGTCTTTGTAATTATAAAACGCCACGGTTCCTTCAATGTGTTTATTATCATGACATAATACAATAGTGTAATAACACAACAGGCTGCTCTAAATGTTTGAAACTGAATGCAGAAATGCACGTTTGCTCGTCGCCGCCTCTCTGGTTGTCGCTCCTTGCTTCTCTCTGCAGACGCTGTCAACAGCTGCTTGTCAACTGTATTCAACTCGTGAGAAGTTGAACCTTAATATCTCAGGGATACCGTGGGCTAGAAACGCTATTTTAACTGTATTCAACTCGTGACATAATCAGTAAATATCTTCTTGATATCTCTCACGGTTTATTTCTAATCTATATTCATATTTTGTCTACTTCTCCATTCAAAGTCAATGGCTCCATTCTTTTCCAATTACCCCCATTCTAGTGTCACGTGACCCCAGCTCCGCGTTCGTCTGTGTGTGTTTCTCATCAATTCCTGCCATGTTTCTGCTCCTATTCTGCCATCCTTAAAGCTCTCACACACATATAATATATGAAAGTGGTAGACAAAATTGTCAGGAATCTGATTATGCCATTATTATTGCGATCGGATGGTGCTACACCCGTGAATTAGCGAAGTTAAGCTACGTGAAGTATTTTCGTGCCTCCTGTTTCGTCAAAATAACATCCCGATTTTCTAAATAAAACCCGAAATACATATAAGCTTAAAATAAAGAGAAATATTGCTCAGAAATATAAATTTTTCAATTATAGATGAAGTGGTCATAAATGAATACATTCAATTGCAGGTTAATGTTTGAAGTCATAGCTTATTTAAGTGGGGTCTCAATATTTTGTTCTCCCCAGCTACATTTATATGAGAAGATTACAATATTAGGAACACCTAAACACTGGCTTATGTCACTATATGAGACAGAAGACAGTTGATGACATTTAGTGATGGCATATTTCCATGGAGAGTGACAGAAGAGGTATGATTTGTTCTTATAGATACTGTGTAGTGTCAAAAATTGTATTTCTGTCCAATATCAACACCTACCAGTTTTTGTTTGTGTTCCCCCTGTGCAGCAACGGACTGCTCAAGGTTCAGGAGTTCTTCCAGTGTTTTCAGAGGAATTCCAGTAACCTCTGGCACCTCTATAGGCTTTCGAAGATTATTTTGCAACTGTAGCAAAATAATCTGCTGTTGCTGCTTAATGGTCTCCATTGTTGTTAATATCTCCCGTAGAATTGCTGTAAAATACCAACAAAACACAGTGAGTGCCAGTAACAAATTGTGAGGTTATTTATCCAATTGGCCTTGAGGCATTTCACTTAAAACTACAATGGTCAAACTGATATACATCATATTAGGGGAAGAATCAGTTTGCACCATGGATATCTGAACAGATTGTTACAATCCAACAGCTAACTGACCATCCATACAGCTATACGTCAGTACAACCAAAACGGGACCAATAACTACTGCAAAAGACTTACGCTCACACATCAGTTGGTCGTTTACCCTGGGCACACGAGGGGTTGCTGCATTTTGGAAACTTGAAGGAGAAAGTTCTGGTCTGGAGGGAGTTGGAGGCAAAATTGCTGGCGTGATGACAGCCGGAGGAACAATGGTTGGAGCAGCTGGTAAGGCCAATTGAGCCCTGGTGTGGTTTCCTCTGGGCTGTTCACTACTGGTGACAGCTGGAGGACCAATGGTTGGAGCAGTTGGTAAGGCCAATGGAGCTCTGGTGCGTTTCCCTCTGGTTTCCTCATTACTGCCGTCATTGTCATCTTGGTCACTCTCTGACTCAAAGATTCTGTTCATGCCTCTAATGTACAAAACAAACTGATTATATTTCAGAATATAACAAAAACACAAAAAAAAACATGAACCTTGTGCAGTAAATTGATTACATTGGTAAACTAAATTCAAGTCGTTTTCCCCTCAAAAGTCACTGATGTTTCCACTAGACTACAGTAAATACACTGTGGAACAACCCATGTACAAATTATTTCAAATCAATTTTCCAAAACCACCTGTTGCTACCACATTTTTGACCATCTTACCTTCTCTTCCGCCTCTTGTATGCTGGACGTTGATCCTCTTCATCTTCGGTTTGAAGATCTGACGTAAGCAGGGCCTTTGGGAGCAGAAGTCGCGCCTCACTAAATGTATCTTAAAAAGAGTTCTCAATTAATTTTCACATTTCTGTTCATTAAAAGTTACTAGTGTAGTTTGTTGGTGTGGCATTAAACAGATAATGAAATTATACCAAGGGATTAAGCGGTAGAAAATGAATGAATGAATGAAATTATACCTTTAGTTGCCCTTATGCGGATGTTGTACTTTTCCCAGAATTCCTTGGGAGGGTCTGCTCTCGCTATGGCCCGGTTGCATTGCTCCCTTGCTTTATAGGGAGGCCAGAAGCTTCTTCCATTATGAACCCATGAGGCTGGAACAACTTCTGTGTCTCCCGTGTCCACAAAATCAACAATGTGGTACATCATCTTTGAAAGGAATAATATGAATTGCATGCAAAATCATTTAAAACATTAAGCCATAAAATTCAATTAAAAAAAAACACAAATACATATATACGTTACACATATACATACATTTAGGACTGCTGCAACAGATTATTTTTGAAAATACACTCCAACATTCTATTGCCCTGATAAACTGAGGTTATGTTATATACAGAAAAGAAAAATACAAATGTGCAAACAAAAAAAACATAAGGAAGTATGTAAAAAATCTGAATAGACACACTAAATCTTAGTACATTTTCAAAAGGTATATAGGTATAAGAAATGATTCTCAGCCCCAGTAAACAGTTGCTCACCTTGCAACACAACCCCAGTTCATTTGTTATGACAAATGGAGAAATGGCATGCCCACAAATTTGTTCCTGAATGGGAGGAGTACATACTTTGTCACTGCATCATTCATCTTGATACACTTTAGTTCCTGGGACAAGTCAGTGAGTTGGAACACACCCAACTGACCTGAATTTATTGGGTAGTCAAAAAAGCTTGCACAACTTGTAAACTCATTATAAACCAAATATGGATCTCCGCCAAACTCAATGATATTTTGGACTACACCTACTACGCCATCATGACATATGCAGTTGTCACCTGTGAATACCTTGACACAAAAGTGTGGAAGACTAACTTCTTTGTACTGCATTACTGGCCATGTGATGTGCAATGGCAGTGGACCATCACAATGTGGTTTTCTGAGTTTGGTTTCATTTTGTGTGTCTGATCTACAAACTACATTTTCAAGCTCTGATATTCGTCTCACAACTTGTGCAACTGGATACTGGGGGCTGCGGATCATTTTCTTTATTTCACCAAGGTAGTTTTCATATGGAAACCCCGAGATGTTGTCCAACCACTGGCCATGCTTTTTTACATCATCACTGAGATGTATAAGGCCATGCACATTGTACACTAAATTGTCCTTGCCATAAAGCTGTCCAAAGTGTTCCACAAAAGACACAAGCAAGGTCTTTGCAAAGTCACAAAATATCACACAGAGCTTTGGACATGCCAGTATTGATATTGCAACATAAAGCAACATAAAGTTGTTGTAAACTGGTGAGCTAAGAATGTCAAATAGCGCAACTGGCCCAGTATACAACAAAAACTGTCTATATTCAGTTGCCTTCCATCTGTGTCTCTCTTCAACAGATCTGGGCTTCCTGGCAAATTCAGTGGGCATGTGACTTTTGAAAGACCTCAGTGTTTCTGACAGCTGATTTACTTTCTTGAAAGGCAAACGGCACCTAAGTGGACCAGTACTGCCTGCCCATAGTTCTAGGAGCTTCCTTGTGACCCCAAGGCAAACAAGATGCATATAATCATGGGGAAACATAGAAACCATTCCAATGCCAGTCTCAATAAGTGGGGAAATGTCTCTGTGATGTTCCTCATCCACCTGAAGTCTGAAACTTTCATCTGTTCTGGCAGGGCTTCTGCTGTCAGGAAAAGTCATACGGCTACCTAGACGAAGCCCATATGATGTACATTTATCACAGCCTGCATACCCAGTATGAGATTTTATGGCTTTAATGTAAGCTCGGGCAGGAGCATCACATATTATTGATGTTACTTTTATGAACAATATTTTCCCTTTAAATGTAAAGCCAGATGCTAAGATTTTTAGCTCTGCCACAAGATCTTTTAAGTAATCTCCCACAGGATGTGGCTTTGATTTGCCACCAAACAAGGCAATCAAACAAGGCTTTTGTTTTACAGAAAATCCCTGCACTAACCCCAGAACTGGCCATAACTGGAAACCTGAACTCTTGAACAATGGAAGCCCATCAAAATTTAGTTGTAGACTGACTGTGTGACGATCAGGAATTTTTACCCAAATATTGTTCAAGAAACGAGTGAGAGAACTGACAATCCCAAAGTAATAGTATGCACCTCCTGCAACTTGGTTGATTATGTAATTTCTGTTAGTATGGAGGAGTGTCTTGGCATCTTTAGGTAAAGATGGATGGTGACATCTCAACACTGACAACAGGGCAGTCAGGGCAACCAAAATGATACTCAGCATAAGCCTCTTCTGTGCATTCACTTTCCATAAAAGTCTCTATATCATGACCACTGTGATCACCACTTTGCACTTTTTGATAACCACATCCTGCAGCTTCATCATCACAATATGAAATTTCAGCACAAGGAACTTCCACATCAAGAAGCTGATTGCTTTTGTCAGCAACGTCATCTTCAGAGGTTTGACTATTTGTGGAAAGTGATGCAAGACGTGTCTTTACTGTGACCCTGGACCTTCTCCGCAGATTTGATGATTTATTGTATTCAGAGTAGAGCTCCATCGTCAGGGCAAATGATTTGAGGTGGTGGAGTAGAATCTCAGGGCTCCGAATCTCAAGGACCCGAAAAAAAAAAAATAATAATTTAGATGAAAAATATTGTAAAGGAGACAAAACGTCTATCAATTTTTTTTAAAACAAATAACTACAATCATATAAATAGTGATGGGTACCTCGCGGAGTAATACGTACTGTGCTTCAACATAATATTAATGCGCCTCGGTTTACAGGAGGCCATGGCGGAGCTACAACCTAACCCGCGCTCGTGCATACAAGCACTCAAGACTACTGGCCCCCTCCCCACAATGCTGAGCATTATGAAGGATACCTAAGTGCAATTTGACTCATGCAGATACAAAAAATGTACTTTTCTTCTACAACAAAATTACTGCTCCAAGGACAGTGTGGTGGTTAAAAATAAATCAGATTCCAGAAGAAATATGTAATAGAATAGTATGTACTTCACATATAGACATTATTTGTACTTATTTTATTATTTGTACTTGTTTGAGCTGAGTGGTTATGGGTTCATGTGAGCTGGACAATGGGCTTATGTAAGTGGCCAAGATGTTGCCTGTTTTCGAAGTACATCTCAGAGCAAACTTTGGATAGCTGAAACTTATTACTCTTTTGTGAGGATCTTGGTAGGAACATTAGGTCAGGCTTCCTGGTTTCCAGGAAGGCTGTAGAGGGTTCCCAGAATGGAGTGAGAAGGGGGGCCCGATAGACGTCAAGACGGACAGAGTCCAGCTGTTGGGAAGTGGCTATGTAGCTGATAAAAAGGAGGGAGCCGGAGAGAGAAGAGAAGAGGACCATGCTGCAGTAGACCATGTACCTTTTGGGGACCCAGCCGGCTGGGGAAGACGCTGACTGACTTGGGACTGACAACAAATGACCTGACTAACTGATGCTTTAACAATCTTCTTAGGCTTTATCTATTCCATTGCCAGAGGAGAGTCTCTGTTCTCTGTTCTCTGTTCCCTAACTACAAGATTATCTGTTTAAATACTACTCTATTCAGAATAACTGTAATATTAAATGATCCTTTGAATTGTAATGGTTTGTCTGAATTAATTTAGTCGGTATCTCACTCTGGCCACGACAACAGCAACATTTTACCACAAATTGTGACTCATACTGGCCATGACTGCAGCCACACAGCCACTCCCTCACTCGTTTGCCCACTCGCTCATCAGCCTAGGTAAGGTGAACGTATGAAATTGCCACAAAACTCAAAGCTGTGTGGCGGTCTAATAATGCTGCTTCTGGGGAAGATCCCCTGTTTAATAATGTAATGTATTTCTACAGTGCCAATTCTGTTAATTGGCGAACTCGCTAGCTAGAAAACGTTAGCTAACATGTGCTCAGATATTGCCCATATTTATGCGACCATTGTACACGAACGCCAGCAATATCACTTTTTTTTTTAAACACCAACTTAACAGTGTCCATTTGAAAAGCATACTTACTCAGATATTTGTTCCAATGTTTCTGAAATCCTCGTACTCTCTGAGCTCAACTGGTTGCGCTAACGGTCCGGTCCGCTTCAGAAAAAGACGTGAGCTACTGAGCATGTGCAATGCCTGTCCTATGGAAACTCAGACAAGCTAGGTCACATGACCACCAAGAGCGTGGAGCAAACCTGACAACCTGTACATCTGTATTCACTTCAATGCCACACTTCTGCCTTAACATTTGTGTTTATGAAACTCAAAATGTTTCAGTTTTTGGTGACAATCTCCTAAATGTATAAATTCTATCATATGTTCATTATTGAGGTCATAGTTAAAGGCCTTTCAAGTTTCAAAATGTTCAGCATTTTCAGGGCGATCCTTCAGCACATAGCATCCACACGCATTTTTGACAGGAAATGCATTTTTCCAGTTTTTGTATGAATTTTATTAGTGAATATTTAAAAGATAAAATGTTTTAAAATATCTTAATCTTGAAATATAGACCTTCCTAGTGATAACTAATGTTTATGCATATGTGTATAGTTTTGATAGTTTTGTGTTATTTACAGATGTATGGATATTTTCAGCATGTTGTAGTCTTATGTTTGGATGGTTAATAGTAGATGCAATCCAAATAATAACAAAGATGACCTTGGTGGTGTGTGGCTGATTTCCATGTGGGACTATTTTAGTCAAGTGCAGTCATGCATTGGTCAGTGGCAGTGTCACCCAACTGCTTTGTGTATAGAGGAAGCATAATGCAACATCACTGCTGATTATAAAAATGTAACACCTTTTTAACATGCACACACAGGTTTATATGATACAATTAGTGGTGCCACACATAATAAAAAGAAGGCATTTATTACTTTTCTAAATACTAAGGCATAACATGGTAGACCTAGTTTTTCTGTCACTCTGGTATAGCAGATAAACCATTACCCAATTGTGCCACACCTCCATAACCGTGATATTTGCAAAGCAATGTGCGTTTCTCAAAATTATTTGTACAAACAGCACCACACAGTGGTTTACCTGCATAAGCATGGCATTTGCTCAAAATCAGCTCTCAAAAATAAACATGTCAATGAACGTGTCAGTGCATCAGAATGACAAGTTCATCATTGATGAACATGGCAGTCAGAATGTTTGGTCATGTTGTCAATATAACTGTGTACTCTGGAAGTTTTTCCAGGTGTAAACTATGGCTCAAGATTTGATGACAGTGACTGAAAATACACAAAACTGCACTTATCAGTTTCAACCGTACAAAGTTTTACATTACTCTATGTGGGAGACCGGAAAAGACTGGACAGGATTTTTACATTTACACTTTTACTGTCATTGTGATACAGATTTATAGCACTGCATAGCACAAAGACAACATTAGAAATGTAAACAGGAAACACCCCAAGACAGGTTGTTTTCCCAACATTCAGCTGCTTCGCCCAGCCTCGGCCATCGTAAGGCCCTGACTGACAATATGGTCCACAGGTGTGGCCCTAATTTCATCTGCAAGGTGTTTATGTCCTCCTTCCACCACACAGCACTGCTCCTCTTCCACCCAGCAGTTAACGCAGTTCATTTCCTAGTTTGTCCACTGTCAGAAACTGTAACACTGTGTTGTGCTTTGGCTATATATGCTTTCCAATCGAAGGTTCATGAGATGGACCGCTGAGCTATTTTAACAGTAGAGAGCTGGTTGGTCATTGGTTGATCTAACGCTTCACACATTCACCTTCATTAGTGAAAGTCAAGATTCACCTGAGAACAACTCAACAATTCAGGACCATTTGGAGGAAAATCTAATCGAGCTATATAGAAATATGCCCGACAGATACTAAAGACAACTAGTTCACCCATTTTGCATGTAATGACATCTGCAATTAACTAATGACTAGTTTTTGGGAGGTCAGACTATTCAGAGAAACATTTAATATATTTTGATCAACATGACATAAAGCAACTCATAAAGACAATTGTACACAATCATTTGCATGAATGTATCAAAACATTTGCAATTTGTTAAAAACAATGAGAAATTGTTTTATGATGTGCACAAGTGACTAGATGATGTGGAGGTTGAACAAGTAGTTTTGATTTAATTTCTGATTGGAGAAATGTACAAAAGTGTCTGAACTAATAATCTAATAATCAGATGCACTCATTAACAGAACAATTTAGTTATCAAGGTGCCTTAGAGAGATAAAATAAATCCTCCCACCAGCAGGGGTCAGTAAAGCTCTACAGCTCTTCCACATGCATCCCCCTCCACACACAGCTTTCCCCATCTTCACATTTGTAATGTCAATCTTATCTAATTTTAGGCAAGTAAACACTTGAAAAGGAAGTTGAAGAGAAACTTTTTTAGTTTAGACACTGCCACTTTGGAAGATCAGCAGCACAACAGACAGCTGTTTCCTTGCAGTGAAGATTCCAAGCTGTGGCAGACTGAGCAGCATTTCTAAATGCATTCCAAATGGTACTGTCTCAATCACTCAGTCAGCATGGTGGGTGACCCCGACTAATAATTCTGACAGGACACATTTTACCAACATTTGGTGCATGTCAGGTGGTCATTGTATATTCTGCTGTGTGCTCCAAAGTTGGCATGTAGAAGTGACCTCCATTTGCATGATGTGGTTACACTTTATATTCATAACAAATACTGTAGCTGCTTTCTAGTTAACATTTCAAAGTCCACTTTACCAAACACTATGCAACACAGTTACTGATGTATCCAAGGCAGTACACATAATGACAGCAGATAAGATACTGAAACAGACTGCAACAAGATCCCTTGAAAGCATTTGTAAAATAAGATTTTTCATTAATAGGCATTTAGAAACTACTAAGGGAGGCTGCTTTATGGCAGCGTTCCTATAAAATGACACAGTATACCAAAGCAATATGGCTTGTTCATTTCACCCACCAGTCTCAGTATTCTACAGTTACTAGCGCTGACCCGTGAAAGTTGACTAGTAAAATCATTAGGCGAGAGACCTGTCAGTTGACTTAGACTCCTCTAGTCGAGCATGTGTTTTCATTTTATTTTTTTGTCATATTTGCTGTAAAACAGGCCTTTGAAATAAACCATTTCTATTTGGGGAAAAAAGTAGTCATTGCTCTTTAGTTCTTTGGCACTCAGCTCATATGCTCTGCTTGCATCATATGCAGCTGCCTTTTATTGATTGTGAAATCCTCAAATTTGTTCCTGTCACTATTTTGCATTTAATTACTGATGTTAATGTGGTCTGAAATTCAGGCCAGTTGATCCAACCCTAGTCAGCTGGCAAAACAGAACAACTAGAATATTCAGAGATCAACTGTATGTTAATCACAAATTAACTTATCCATTTATGAAAAGTTTCAACACTATCAGTGTAAAACAATGTGCCAAAATAAGCAGAATACACATTAGGATCATACTCTGTAGAAAGTTGCTGTCCCACCACAGAGAGCAAGGCTCTGGTGGTGGATTAGTCCATGGGTGAATAAACTCAGGTAAGTGAGAGTCTGCTGCTGAACTGCTCTGCAATACAGAGTGAAGCCCAACCATCTTTCACTGCAGGCTCCTGGTCAGGGCAGCACATCGGTGATCTTCCTCTTGCGGTAGTTTAGAACCAAATTGGAGGCGGTGAGTTGTGAGGCCTGTCCCTTCTCCCAGTTCTGGAAACTGTGGAGTCCGGTTTGCCCAGACCTGAACAAAGCCTTCTCCAGACAATCCAGGCGCTCCACCAGCACAGATGTGTCTTCATTGTAAGCATTCTGAGAAGAGTCCATGGTCCGCCTGAACCGGCCGATGAATGTCTGGACAAAATACAATATGAAGACTTTGACTCAGTAGATTACAAAAAAGAAAATACTACCATCAAAATAATGTACTTTATGGCTTGCTGGTAAAAGTTTAAAGAGCCCATGGCATGCTTTTCCTTGTTTTCTGACTTATCTACAATGTTACAACGTTGAATTATTGTCTTAATGCTCAAAAAATGAGGTGTATGCATGTTCTAGTATTTTTATGTAGAAGCTACTCGGTTTACACACCTCGCAAACTCTCGCTCATGAGACTTTTTTTTCCCCCTCACAAAATAAAGTATTACATGCAAGTTTTAGGATTTCCTTGAATGGTCATAATCTCAAGACCATTGCACGTTCATGTGAGCTTGCCTGACTGCATTAGTTGCCTGAGTTTTTCGACTGCGCCTGGTTTTGTGGATATATTTTACCTCCTACTGCTGCACTGTGACCTGAGGATGTGGAGGAAAATACAGGGCCTGCATGTGTTGCTGATTAACGACCCATGATGTTACTGTCGGGGCTACGTTACCTGTTGGAATTCATTTCACTACTTTGGAATTAATTTTGGGACTTAACGGTAAGTAAAAAAAAAAAAACAAACAAACAAACAACAACAACAACAAAAAAAAAAACACGTTGCATGTCTGTTAATGCCTTGTTTCTGTAATATTAGAGAGCATTGTTGTAAGGCTGTAGAAGTTATGATGTCTGCATTATGCCAGTTGAATTACAGTGGGTACGGAAAGTATTCAGACCCCCTTAAATTTTTCACTCTTTGTTATATTGCAGCCATATGCTAAAATCATTTAAGTTCATTTTTTCCTCATTAATGTACACACAGCACCCCATATTGACAGAAAAACACCGAATGTTTGACATTTTTGCAGATTTATTAAAAAAGAAAAATGAGGAAAAAAATGAACTTAAATGATTTTAGCATATGGCTGCAATATAACAAAGAGTGAAAAATTTAAGGGGGTCTGAATACTTTCCGTACCCACTGTATGTGGTTTCTCAATTACCCACTTTGTTTGTGTTACACATCTCTTTTCATCGGTACATACCGCTGTTAACCTATCTATGGAGGAAAAATTCAAATTAATTAATACTGCTGTGGTTCTTTGTGCTGCTCACTTTTGACACGACACCAGCAACAGGAGTTCTGCGCAATTACAAACTATCCTCTCATTTTCAGGAAGAGGCTTTTTGGTGTTCTTGTTCTGAAATAATTAGACTATGTGGAGTTGCGAGGGGCGCAAAGCTAATCTAGAGGTACCCAAGATTAAACATTAAATGGCTGGAAACGAGCAAAATGAGCAGCCATGGGCACCTTAACCAACCAGCTGTCATCTTTTATATAAAATGTATAAAATTTAAAATGTCACTTGCCTTTATGCAGAAACATCTTTAAAAACAAACAAAAAATCTTAAATGGAGTGCGTCCAGAACTAGACCCTGCAATGTTATACTGAATCCTAAAGCAGCAATCAGGTGTAATTCTTAATTTACACCGTGTCATTTGTGTATAATCTTAGCGCTTGGGCCAAAGCCTGTACTAACACAAGCTCTGTTTTCACTCACTCCTTGATTCCTGGTAGAGTTAAGACATCACACACATAGACATGGGAACTAAAGAACCAGAGATGTTAGCCAACATGGATCATGACGCTCATGTGGTTAAAAACAACCACAGTGGACAATTTTGCCAATTAAAGTGTGTGAAAACCCTGTGGTGTATAAAACTATGATGAAGTCTTATAGGGTGACTACCAGTGAGATTAAGCTAGTCTGCCTGATAGTGTGACTTTTTTTTTCTGATTGCACCCCCTAACTTAAATAGCACTGTACTGTAGGACCTCCATTTCTAAGTAAGGGAAATGATCTTCTATTCAGATTTAAAATTTTGTGTGACTTGTTGAATGGATTGAATTATCTAGTGCTGACTATATGAGGCTGTTGGTTTTACTTCCTAATCAGCATTGTTACTAAAAACAAGGATGTGTGTGTTACAGGACATCCAGTATGCTTTAACACCCATTTTAAGATCTGAGGTTTCAAGACAAAATTCCCCTTTTTCAAATTTTCATCTTGTGGCTTGCATGACATTATATTCTGAACTTTAAGTTGGGACAAAGTAGCTAATCCTATGTTTTAGAAATGTGCTTGCACAACTTAAAAAAAACCCAACATTTTTTCAATGTTCCAGTACAACAGTGCTTCAAACTGTTCTGGTCTCATTTAGAGAAAAGTCACTGGGATTCAGCCTTTGGGGATCATGAAAGCCTGGACCACATTTTGTCTCAGTCCATCTGGTGGATGTTACGCTACTCACTGGATAAGTGAACAATTTATCTAGCTGGGGGCGCTAGAGGAAAACTCAGACGATAAAGGTAAGGTAAAGTCAGTGAGATTTATCATCTGGGAACCATACAGTGTCTATAAAAGGTATTCATCCCCTTGGATGTTCTACCCTTTTATTGATTTTATAAATCAATCATGGTCAATATAATTTGTTTTTTTTTTGACAAAAAAACCCTTTCATGTCAAAGTGAAAACAGATTTCTATAGAGTGATGTCAAATATGTAATGGGAAATAAGTGATTGTATAAATATTCACCCTTGACTGGCCTAATTCAACAGAGGTCTACCCAATTGGTGCTAGTGGTCTCACAAGTGGAGTGGCTGACCAAATATGTTAAACACAGAGACTGAAACAACCATGTAAAGCGACAACAACGGAATGCAGTCTTCAACATACATTGGAGTCAGAAACCAATTCAGCAGATAAACCATTACCCAATTGTGCCACACCTCCACTGGTCATCACCCCTTCAGATGCCATGATGGCTCTAATCAAACAGACACTGGACATTCCACTATCTCCCTCTCATACACCACCATTTTTATGGGGGCAACTGTGGTTCGCTGGGTAGAGTAGTTGTCTCCCGAACTGGAGGGTTGGAGATTTAAATCACGGTGCCTGTAGTCCATGTGTCAAAGTGTCCTTGGGCAAGACACTGAACCCCCAAGTTGCCCCCAGTGGTTAGAGCCATCGGTGTGAGTTGGCGCAGCAGATGGCTGCCTTCGTTCTGTACCAGAAATAAATTCCTTGTGTGTGTGTGTGTGTGTGTGTGAGTGAGTAACATGCTTGGCCAAATAAAGGTAATTATTATTATTACAATTAGTGAGAAGTGTCTGGAAGGTCCAGTCACTGGTTAATCAGTATTCCTGGTTCCCATTGCACCATGAAGACTAAAGAACACTCCAAGAAACTCAGAGAAAAGGTTATTGAAAAGTATAAGTCAGGGGATGGATACAAAAAAAAAATTCCAAGGCACTGAACATCCCCTGGAAATCAATTAAATCCATCATCAAGAAATGGAAGGAATATGGCACATGTCTAAATCTGCCTAGATCAGGACTGAATGACCGTGCAAGAAGGAGACTAGTGAGAGAGGCCACCAAGACACCTATGACTACCCTGAAGGAGTTACAAGCTTCGGCAGCTGAGATGAGAGAGACTCTGCATACAACAACTGGGTTCTTCACCAGTCAAAGCTCTATGGGAGAGTGGCAAAGATAAAGCCACTGTTGAAGAAAACTCCTAAAAAAATCTCAACTAGAGTTCGCCAAAAGGCATGTGGGAGAATCCATAGTCAGGTGGAAGAACGTTCTTTGGTCTGATGAGACCATAGTGGTGCTTTTTGGCCGTCAGACAAGATGCTATGTTTGGCAGACACCAAACACTGCACATCATCACAAACACCATCCCCACTGTGAAGCATGGTGGTAGCAGCATCATGCTGTGGGGTTGCTTCTCGGCAGCCGGCCCTGGAAGGCTTGTAAAGGTAGAAGGTAAAATGAATGCGGAAAAATACAGGAAAATACTGGAGGACAATCTTATTCAGTCTGCAAGAGAACTACGGCTTGGGAGAAGATTTATTTTCCAGCACGACAATGACCCAAAGCATACAGCGAAAGCTACACAGAAATGGTTTAAAGACAACAAGGTGAGTTTTCTGGAGTAGCCAAGTCAAAGCCCAGACCTCAACCTAATAGAGAATTTGTGGCTGGACTTGAACAGGGCTGCTCATGCCCGATCCCCGTTGAACCTGGCAGAGCTTGAGCAGTTTTGCAAAGAAGAATGGAGTAAAATTGCAGTGTCGAGATGTGCAAGCCTGACTGAGATCTATCCACACAGACTCGGTGCTGTGATTGCAGCCAAAGGTGCATCTACTAAATACTGACTTGAAGGGGGTGAATATTTATGCAGTCCCTTATTTCCCATTACATATTTTAATTTAATTGACATTATTTTGTTGAAACCCGTTGTAATTTGTTTTAGTCAAAAAAAAAGCCAAATTATATTAACCATGATTGATTTATAAAATGAATAAAAGGGTAAAACATCCAAGGGGGAGAACACTTTTTATAGGCACTGTAGATGTGTGTACCAAAGTGCATGGCTATCCATTATACTGTATACCGTATTTTCCGGACTATAAGTCGCTCCTGAGTATACGTCGCACCAGCCAAAAAATGCATAATGAAGAAGAAAAAACATATATAAGTCGCACTGGACTATAAGTCGCACTTTTTGGGGGAAATTTATTTCATAAAATCAGAGACCAAGAACATACATTTCATCTTGAAAGGCAAGTTATCTTAATAACAATAAAATGGAGAACAACAGGCTGAATATGCATCTGTTAACGTAACGTGAATAGGCGGTATGTTAACGTAACATATTAACACTTGTCCGTGCTCTGATAGAGAGGCGGTTGCGTTGCATGAAGCGGTAACACCAAGAAGGTCCTCCCGCAAAGTCATTTATATTCATCGCCTTGGCAACTACCTTGGCATGGAGACGTAACTGCACCGTTGACAAGCCTCTCCCGGCAGCACGTTGTTCATTCAAGCATTTGCGAACTTGTTCCTCTAGCTGTGGCCATCTAGCTTTTAGCCTGCGATTAGCTTTTTTTGTTTTCTTCATTGCAGTTAGAGTATCC